CATTGATTCCACAAAATCCAGTTTCAGGGTTGTAATATGCATCGTCTAGTTTGATTTCCGATTTTTTAGTTTCTTTGGTAGAGGGTTTGATGGATTTTAAAGTACCTCCACTTTTTGAATTGGGAATTATTTTGCATTTTTTCGTTTTGCATACTACACATTTTCCCCTCAACAACTGCTTGTTGTTAATGCTCAAAATCTGAGATATGTCGGTAGTATCTGTACTGATCCGACATTTGAAACAATACATTTATAAACAAAAAATTTGCTGAAGAATATGTGAGATTGAAATTGGTGTTAAGAATAGAATTCTCAAAGCGCCAGCGGAGCGCTAAAGGGGCGATGACCAGAAGAGGGTTGATGGAGGACCCAGGCGGTTTCGGGAAAATGGGTGGAAAAGGAGAGTTATTTTAAAATGACAGTTTTGATTGATTAATGGTATTATCCTTAGAGATTGATATGAAATTTTGACAAAAGTGGTATTAATTAGAGGCGGTCTAAAAACTGTCCTAGAGCGTTACTTTTTATACTACTATTATGGATATGCCACATTTAGTGATGACCCAAATTCTGGACAACGCTGGTTTTCTAGCAATGTAAGTGTTTTTGGATAATTGGATTACTGTAGACGCAATTTTCAGTCTGAATCTTCGAAAAACGTGTAAATCCTTCCGAAATTTCATTGATGACGTCAAGCCGATGAATGATTTGAAGATTGTTAATATATTTCTTGGACACCGATTGCTGAAAGTTTATTTAGGTTTTGAGAAGAATTCAAACTTGAAAATTGGAGGGATGAATGTGTTTTATGAGGAAGGAAGAGAAGAAAACAGTTGTGTGGTTTCCAAAAACTCAGTGGAATTGGTAAAAACGGATGGACACTTTCTGAATGTATTTTTCGACGATTTCGAGCCCATTCTCAAAAATCAAAGTTCCAAATTAACTGATCTAATAATCAAAGTTGATTGCCGCACTTATTCGGATGCTCAAAGTACTTTTCCTCAATCAAAATCTCAAACGGCTTTATCGCATTGTCTGTGCTCTCGAAGGAAAAAAACCGAGAGAATTTTGAAAATGATAGAGGAAGAAAAAGACCATCAACATAAGAGAACTGCAAACAAAATGATGGGTAGATTTGAGGAAATTCTGCTATCGAGAACGGTTGCACTCGAAATCGAAAATCTTAGTCTAACACTTCTTGAATCGTCACAATTGTTTGGAATTTTACGTCTTACTAAAACAAATGTATTCATGGGAAATCAACCGATTAATTTCGGCTTCCGCGGTGGAGTAAGCACTCTACCACTCGACGCGATTCCAAAATTCGAAACGTTGAAAACTTTGGATGTTCTTGAAATTTATTGCTTTGTGACTACAAATACAATCTCAGACTTTTTTGACATTCCCGAACTTTTTCTGTGGCGTGCCAGCCTTTCTGGAGAGGATATTTTGAGTTTCGTTTCATTCAGAAAACTATGCTATGTATTAATTAATATCATCAAGTTTTCTTTGTCTTTTTTAGTATTCCCAGCTTTTTTTTTTTGCCGCGCCTTCGTTCAAGCAAATTCAAGCAAAAGTTATGGCCGTTTGAAAATTTATGTTTTCAGTTTTGACCTACCAGAAAAATTTTGGTAGATCAAAAAATATGTCAGCGTACTGCCCGTCCCATATGGGCACTAATGCAAGAAAGTACTCCCCGATAGCTCAACTATGAAAAAAGTTATTACCAAAAAACAAATTTCAAAAAAAAGTTTGTATGGCGCGTACCGCCTTTGGGGTGGACCAAATCAAAAATCTAAAAGGGGTATGTCCCCCTAATTTTTTGCAAGCTATCTAATCTGAAAGTTTGGTCCAATTTGGGCTTGGTGCCACCCTCGGTCTCACGCCAAATAGCGCAGGCTGCGCCTGCGCCTGAGCCTAGCTTCTCTGCGTCTCACTTGGCAAACAAACGTCTCTAAATTCCTTCAATCTAGACAGAACTAAGTGAAAATTTCAAAAAATATAAACCGAATCTTGCTTATGAGATTCTGCAAGTTTCATCTGAATTGAATAATTTTGAAGAGAGTTATGAGTGTTTGAACATAAGAGACGCAGACAACTAGAGTGTCTAGCTTCTCTGCGTCTCTTCAATCGGCTATAACCTGCTTCAAATTGGTCAGCATTTGATGAAATGTTTCAGGATATATCAAGTAAATCATCTTTCCCAACTTATGAAAATTTTATAAAGTTTCTATTACTGAGAAAAGAGTTATGCGTCTCAAAAGATAAGATACGCAGACAACTAGAGTGTCTAGCTTCTCTGCGTCTCTTTTTGGGTCATTTCCCTGTCAAAAATGATTCAAGTTAAGAATTTGTATTCGAAAATTCAAAAAAAAAAGTTTATTCTCGAAATTCATCAATTCTTCGTCTTGTCTTGACCTGCAACATTTGCCGAGCTTACTTTTATGATCTGAAATTTCGAAATAAATAAAAATAGAACGATTTAAAAAGATTTTTACCCGAGAATTTTTTGGGGGTTTACAAAACATCCCTTTTACAGTATCCCGATACTGTGAGGACATGATGAAACAGAAAAATGGGGAGTGGAGGCATTGAAAGTGACAAGGTTCTTACAGATGAAGGTGAGTGATCCAAGCAGGTCTCTGGAATTTTTTCGAACGGATTTTAAAGTGGTAGGCGCCCAGAACTTATACTCACACCCATGTCTGATCTTTTTCGGTAAAGTCTCCAGAAGTATCCGATAGCTTAGCCGTCTTAATTTGAATCAATAACCCAACTAAACCAGATAATCCCTCGGATAACATGAAACAAACAGTCATTGCTAATATCAATTTCGTTGTTTTATCCGATCGATCACTCAATGAATTCTTCTGAACATTCTCTCGCTTTTTCTTAATTGATCTCAATCGGAATAGCAATGCAATTGTGAGAATTGGATATAAAACAGCTAGAATAAACTTCATAAACGGGTCCCAGGAGTCTTGTTTGAATTGTAATTCCGCATAATTCGCCGGGAATGACCAATATGTTCTTTTTGAATTTTTTGTGTTCTTTGTAGAAGTAGCATCTGGAATGATATATAGACAACAATTAAAAATCCCTGGTTTTCGTTACAGTATCCCTCATGTTCATGGATTTTTTATTGTGCCTAGGAAAGTCCTTATCTTGCCCTCGCGCTTATATTATTACTGTTAAGACCTTAAGGAGCCTTAATCACCCATCAAGGACACCAGGCCAAGACCATCAAGAGAAGGACATCTTGCCCTTACCTTGTACTTACCTTGCTGTTGCCTGAAAATTGCAAGAAAAGTTCCAAATTTGGAAATTCTGAAAAAACAATGGAAAATGGGAAATGTTCAATTTTTAAATTTATAAAAAATCTATTTTCATACTTTTTCCAGCTGGTCGCGATGTATTTGCACTTGGTCACTGATAACAAAAGCGCCTCTCGGTTTTAAGAAAAGAAAAGATAATTTTCATTTATTCTGTTTTTCACTTCCTTTCCGCTTTCTCTTCTTCACTTTGGAATACACCATTTTGCTTCTTTTTTTGCGTTTATGCAGAATAATTTTAATTTTAAAAAGACCTTTTGTCGAATACACATAGCTAAACCACTACTTTTTTTGATTAGAAATGGCACTCCCAATTTTGATATTTTTCGCAAAATTTCCCAATTATCTGAATTCTTTTCTCTAATAGTTTTTCTTTTTTCTTTAAACTGATTAAAACATTCAAACATCCTAATCTTGCTCTCCATGTTTTCAGATCGAGTCGATTTTGTTATTGTGAGAAGAATCATGTCTGCAAGATTTACACACAAAGAAGACAACGCGTTACTGCTTTATGTCTTGAGACACTCAGAAGACCTCAAAGATGAAGTATTCGAGTCCGCAACAGAAGATGAAAAACTGACTGGGAGAACAGGAAAAAGTCTCAAAAAGAGGCGAGTTTATTGAACGACAAAAGTCACATTTTTTTAATTTGTCGTTTACAGATTCAAAAAACTATGCTCCGCAATTTCGATTCCTGCGTCTACAGATATCAAAGAGGAAGATGCATTGAAGCTGGCGAAATTCTATGATGTGATATTTTCACGCCGTGATATCGAGAAGTAATTGTTCCCGTAGTAACATAAAATTGTAGTTTAATTTTTTCCAGATTTCGAAAAAATTACGAAATCAGTTTACGCTATGTTATCCATAGTTATCAGCTGAAAGAATCGGAAACTGAAAGTGAAGGAGAGGAGGAGAGTGGAGAAGGAGAGGAGGAGAGTGAAGGAGAGGAGGAGAGTGGAGAAGATGAAGACGAAGAAGAAGAAGAAAGTGATAAGGAAGAAGACAAGGCCATACAAAATCTAGGAGAAGGTTTTAAAAATGTCAAATTAGATGACAAACCGTCAGAAGAATAACTTGAAATATTGTTTGTTTTTGATTTTCAATATTCACGTAAAAGTTCCATAGTTGCAAACGGGCCGGCCCGGGCAGGTGGCGGGCCGGCAGATAACTAGATCAAATCTCGACAGGGCCCATCACGTCTGTAACATTTCAACCGGATTCCGGTCCATTAACATGCCGCGGGCCGGGCTAGAATGGCAAATTTGGCCAAAATCGGGTTTTT